ACATGTTCTTTCTTGGTGCTTTGTAGTTGATGGTTAAAAAAGGTGAGACACATTTAGTATTTTAAGATTAATATTATATATCCATGACTTTTACAAGGCTAGGGGACAAAATTTTAATAGATGGTAATAGAACTTAAGTTTTATACACACTAGGTGTGAACATTTATCTTCTAAATAAAATAATATAAGCCTTATGAAGCACCAAGAAAAAAAATTTATTTTTATTTTTCTGGAGTATTGCAACTTTATTCCTTTTTATTTTTTAATTATTATTATTTTTTATTTATGTGTGTGTGTGTGTGTGTGTGTGTGTGTGTGGCCAGCTCAGCCCACCAGGGGGCGGAGCTGGCTGGCATGTGGTGCTGGGAGCGGTCCCTGTGCTTTGCTAAGCTTGTTCTAAGTAGGTGCTTTAGACCACTGAGCCATCTCACCAGCCCCCCAAGAAAATTTTAAAACGAATTATTTTTTACTCTCTAACCTCAAATTGAGTTATTAAGCAAAGCCGAAAAGCTGTTTTTTGATATTTAGAATTTAAAACCTGAATATAATTATCATTAATAGACACAGAGAGTGTCAGTGTTAACTTTGCATTTGGCCGTAGTTATCACTGTAAAACAGTTTCAAAACAGTGCCTGAAAAGTAACTTTCACCAAAAGCTGTTTTCCCAGCAATTTCCAGCAGGCAAGGAAGGGGTCCTTTCCTTTTCCAGACAAAAGAAGTCTGACCCCAATCATATTAAATAATAATCAGTCTGATACATGTTTTGAATTTTTTATTTAAAGAAAAACTTTAATAAAGAATTATCATTCAAAAATACCTTATACAATTATCTGTATACCACAATATGTGCTGGGTAAATCAATCTGGTGTTTGAAGGTTATGACTGGGGGTATAACAGTTATTGTTCAACATACATTTTTGTCTAGTTGCTAAATAAAGTTTAATTTCAAATTTTTCCTAATGTTACAATTTGTAGAACTTGTTTAACAATAAAATAGAAAGAAACAACATCTTTGTGCCTTCATAATCTTCACAATTCTTTAACGTATGAAATAGCTGTCCGGACAAGGTCCGGAGTTCAATTCCCAGTACCAAAAAAAGAAAAAAAAAAAAAAAGCAAAGAGAAAGTGGAGACCTCAGATAGCCCCCTACCCCATGTCAAGTAAGTGTGCTCACTTTGGTCACAGAAAAAAACATTTCAAGACAGGTCAATGAAATATGAAGAGAGTATATATAATGCTGAAATCCCTCCAGAGGCAATTAATGAGGAAAAACTCTTCTCTTTGTGCTCTAGCGCCTGGACCTGCAGTGGCTACTTAATGAAGACTTGAGGACCAAATGAAGGCATCTGATGGCGGAGAGGTGCTCACAGCAAAGACGAGGTCCTGCAAGGTGAGGACCAGGCTGGGCTATTGTCCCAGTCCCGGTCCACACTGGAGTGGACATGGGGCATGTGATAAGTAACTTGACTTTCCTGGGCATCTGCTTCTTCTCTGTAAATTTGGGTGCTCCAAATGATATGGAACGGCCTCCCAGCTCTGAAATGCTGTACATCTGAATCTTAAAGTTAGCTAATCATTGTTCTTGCCAGTTTTTACTGTGGATTTCACTACCTGTCTCCACAGGAAATAGAAGCGTAAGCTGTGCTGCAATTCTGATCAGACATATTAGCCTCTAGGATGACATGATGGGGAGTTCCAAATGCAAAGGCCCGAAGGAGAAAGGCAGAAGGGTGGGATTAACACAAAACGCTTGAGTGTGTGAGAGACGAGTACAACAGAAGAGGAAGGGGAATCTGGAAAAGAAAGCCTCCATGGCTCAGAGTGGCCAAGTCTCCAGACCGCAAGTTTCCTCAAGAGGTCAAAAGTGAGTAGGTTTTTATTTATAGCAGATTAACCAATGATTAATTTATAAGAGGCTTCCTCTCCAGGGAGCACAGACTGCTCTATTTCCTAATTGGACGACTCATCGCACATAAATAAAGGACAATCACTTCCGCCTGCTGGTAGACACTCTGACAAGACAAGCTTGTTCTTGTCTCTGTCTTGATTTACTATATGACCTTGGGCAAGTCATTTATTTTCCTCGGAAACAGTTTCGATAATTGTAAAATGGAAATAAAAATCTCCACTGCCATTCCTGGAGATTAATGAGACAAAATGAATGTCCTCGAGCTCCCGGAGGGGAAGAGGCCATGTGTAAGAAAGTAATGAACTATTAAATAGTACTGTTGGACTTTGCACACAATGTGAGAAAGGAAACAAGGGGAAAACCCTTGAGTTTGAAGTTCCTCCACCTAAAAAGGATGAACTCCCCTCCTAGAGATAGCCTGGCTTCTCCGTGGGTCACGCAGTGCACACCGGCACCGCTGAAGGCTCTTGGGAAGTGCCCTGAATTATTTCCTCACAGCTGTAATGCTTGCTCTGCTGGGATCACTGACACCTTGGGCAAACTCGTACTGTGGTACTCGGATCCTCCTTCTGTCATATGTTGGATACTACTACTACTTAGTAGATAGACGATAGATAGATGGATAGATAGATAGATATATGTAAGTATCTGGCATATTACTGATTTCCCAATAAATATTGGTTTATGACTTGTTTCATAGCATGACAGTTCAAACTACTGGGGGAAGGCCCAGCCAAATAGCTCAGAGGATTAAAGTGCCTGCAAGCAGGGGCCATGGGTTCAATCCCTGGGCCTGCTGGGCCAGCCTCGCCCCCAGAGAGTGCCGAGACAGCAGTTGAGACTGGGCGTGGTGGCGCGAGCCTGTAATCCCGGCTCTTGGGAGGGTTCAAACAGGCAGATCACTAGAGTCTGATCTAGTACTGAGATCCTGAACACCCTGTAGACCCTTCCCTAAAAAAGTACAAAAAACAAACTACTGTGGGAGCACTTTAAGTACCAAGAGTGTCTCAGATTCTCTAATACCAGACCCCTCTAATTCAAAACACCATCTGGCAAGGATCCTATATGCCCTTTATTACTTGGAGAGACGCAGGCGACAGGCTCTGAAGCTGCTGGCGGCCCCAACCCAGGCCACCCAGGCGGCCTTTCTGGAGCCCGGGCTAAGGTCGCGAGCCCTGCACTCGACCCTACCTTCCTTTACGAAGGAACATTGGGATAGAGATAAATGTGATGTAAATAAAGGTTTGTACTCTACCATGAAGTCATGAGTGACTTTGGAGAACCTGGACAACGCCTTGAAATTCCCCGAAGCGGTCGCAAGGGGGCACTGTGCACCTGCTTTGTGGAAGGAAAGACGCGAGACTGGGCTCCTCCTGCATCCCAGAGCCTGGGCGCCCTGCACCGTACAGGGTGAGCAACCTAAGCGCGGGCTCCAGAAAGGGCGGCCTGGGTGGCCCGGGCTGGGGCCACCAGCAGCCTCAGATCCAGTCGCGTGTGTCTCTCCCCAGTAATATAGGGGAGTATATTGTCCTTTCCGAAAGGTGTTTCGAATTTGAGGGGTCTGGTTGCCTTTCCCAGGCAACCACCGGGAATATTTTGGCTGCCCCACCATTGGATATTTTCTTGAGCATCATCTGATTTTTAAGGGGCCCGGGTGCCAACCGGGGTAGGCCCCCTCCCCTATACACACACTGCAAGGAGCCAAATGCACGGCAGACTCTGAAGTCACCGTTAGATGTCGGGGTGAGAGGCTGGCAATCCCCAGGGGGACTTTTTTAGAAAAAAGGTCATGGTCAGAAATAGTTGAGGTGTGAAGCTGAATCGCACCTCTGCAAAAAGGGAAGAAACAGTGTGTGCGTCCCCAGGGCCGCTTGCTTCCTTCTCTCCTAACAAGAGGTCAGACACGGAGCTCGGTCCAGAGCTCCTCTGCTTCACCTGCCACTAGGGTTCCCACCCCAAAGGTTGCTCTGGCCTTGAACACGAGAAAAGTCGGTTGACTCGTCATCCTGTAGCAAGTGCCGTGGGTGGAGTTGTCCCGGAGCCCCCGTAACCCAGTTGCAGGGTGTGTTCAGTGTTGGCGTCCACGCGATCCTGGGCAGGCCAAGAGCCGGCCACCCCTGACCCGGGGTCAGGGGCTGAGCACCTCGCACGTGCCCGGCGGCAGAACCAGCCCGCGCGCCCAGCCTAGTGCAGGGTGGCGGGGCCAGAGAGAAAAACACAGGACCCTAGGGGGTCTTGCTTTACAGAAACAAGGATAGGGGGCCAGGCGCGGTGCTTTCGCCAGGGAGAAAGTACAACCCACCCCAAACTTTCCAGGTCTGGGGCGGTAGGAAAGGCAGCCGCCGCGCCGCGGCGCGCCCCGCCAGGCGAGGAGGGGCGGTCCTCACTTCGCACTCGCCCGCCCGCAAAGCGCCGCCGCTCGGGGCACAGCTCGGGCGACCGCAGAAGCAGCTACCTCGCCGCTTCAGAGTGAGCGCGGGCCCCGAGGAAGGAAGACTCGGCGAGGATCCAGCTGCGAGCAGCGACGCTGGACCTCGCAGGCTTCCCGGCCCTGCGGTGTGGCGGGGCCGCGCCCCTGGACACCATCGCTGCCTTCAGAGAGGCTCAGCAGCGAGTGAGCGCGGAGACTTCCGCGGGCCACAGAAGTCCGATTAAACAGAAATGTCAAAAGCCACCCACCGCTGCCAGCCCCCGGCGCCAGGTGGCTTCCGGGCCGCCCGCACCTCACCGGGAGGAAGACGGTGACAGGCGCCCGAGGAGACGCGGTGCTCCCGGGGACGCAAAGGCGCCGCCTCCCCAGCGCGGGACTCGCGCGGTTGCCAGCCGCGGCGGTCGGACGGCTCAATGAGGCCAGCAAGCCCGGGACC